TCGGTTTTCTTTTTCAACATTCCTCTGGCTATTTGGGGTCTTTTCTGGTTCCATATACATTTTAGGATTATTTGTTCCATTTCTTTGAAAAAAATGGATGGTATTTTGATAGGGATTGCATTAAACATGTAGATTGCTTTAGGTAGCATAGACATTTTCACAATATTTGTTCTCCCAATCCATGAAGATGGAACATTTTCCCATTTCTTTGTGTCTTCCTCTATTTCTTTCATGAGTACTTTACAGTTTTCTGAATATATATTCTTTGCCTCTTTGGTTAGATTTAGTTCTAGGTATCTTATGGTTTTGGGTGCAATTTTAAATGGGATTGACTCCTTAATTTCTCTTTCTTCTCTCTTGCTGTTGATATATAGAAATGCAACTGATTTCTGTGCATTGATTTTATATCCTGACACGTCACTGAATTCCTGTACAAGTTCTAGCATTTTTTGAGTGGAGTCTTTTGGATTTTCCACATAAAGTATCATATCACCTGCAAAGAGTGAGAGTTTGTCTTCTTTGATGATTTGGATGCCTTTTCCTTCTTTTTTTTTAAGATTTATTTATTCATTTTTCAGCGAGAGAGAGGGAGCACAAGCACTGCTTTGATCTTTGACACAAGCAGTGCTTGTGCTCCCTTTTGGCAGGCAGAGGCAGAGAAAGAAGCAGGCTCCCTGCTGAGAAAGGAGCCTGATGCGGAACTCAATCCCAGACCCTGGGATCATTATCTGAGCCGAAGGCAGCCACTTAACTGACTGAGCCACCCAGGCTCATTTCTTTTTGATGCATTTCATTTATTTTTGATGTCTCATTGCTGAGGCTAGGACTTCTAGAACTATGTTGAATAGCAGTGGTGATAGTGGACGGCCCTGCCGTGTTCTTGAGCTTAGGGGAAAGCTCTCAGTTTTTCCCCATTGAGAATGATAGTTGCTGTGGGTTTTTCCTAGATGGCTTTGATGATATTGAGGAATGTATCCTCTGTCCCTACCCTTTGAAGAGTTTTGATCAAGAAAGGATGCTATACTTTGTCAAATGCTTTTTCAGCATCTATTGGGAGTATCATATGGTTCTTGTTCTTTCTTTTATTAATGTATTGTATCCCATTGATTGATTTATGGATGTTGAACCAACCTTGCCGCCCAGGAATAAATGCCGCTTGGTGGTGGTGAATAATCCTTTTAATGTACTGTTGGATCCTATTGGCTAGTATTTTGGTGAGAATTTTTGCATCTGTGTTCATCAAGGCTATTGGTCTGTAATTCTCTTTTTTTCATGGGGTCTTTGTTTTTTTTTGGGATCAAGGTAATGCTGGCCTCAAAGAATGAGTTTGGAAGTTTTCTTTCCATTTCTATTTTTTGAAACAGTTTCAGAATAAGTATTAATTCTTCTTTAAATGTTTGGTAGAATTCCCCTGGGAAGCCGTCTGGCCCTGGGCCCTTGTTTGTTCAGAGATTTTTGATTAATGTTTCAATTTCCTTACTGGTTATGGGTCTGTTCAGGTTTTCTATTTCTTTCTCGTTCAGTTTTAGTAATTTATACATCTCTAAGAATGCATCCATTTCTTCCAGATTGCCTAACTTGCTGGTGTATTGTTGCTCATAATTTGTTCTTATAACTGTTTTTATTTCTCTGGTGTTTGTTGTGATCTCTCCTCTATTGCTGATGATTTTATTTGGGTCCTTTCTCTTTCTTTTTGATAATTCTGGCCAGGGGTTTATCAATTTTATTAACTATTTCAAAGAACGAGCTCCTAGTTCTGTTGATTTGTTCTCATGTTCTTTTGGTTTCTATTTCATTGATTTCTGCTCTGATCTTTATGATTTCTCTTCTCCTCCTGGTTTTAGGCTTTCTTTGCTGTTCTTTCTCAGCTCCTTTAGGTGTAGGGTTATGTTTTGTGCCCGAGATGTTTTTTGTTTCTTGAGAATGGCTTATATGGCTATATACTTTCCTCTCAGGACTGCCTTTGCTGTGTCCCACAGTTTTTGAACAGTTATATTTTCATTTTCATTTGTTTCCATGAATTTTAAAAAATTCTTTAACTTCCTGGTTGACCCATTCATTCTTTTTTTTTTAAGATTTTATTTATTTGTTTGACAGAAATCACAAGTAGGCAGAGAAGCAGGCAAAGAGAGAAAGGAGGAAGCAGTCTCCCTGCCAAGCAGAGAGCCCAATGTGAGACTTGATCCCAGGACCCCGAGATCATGACCTGAGCCGAAGGCAGAGGCTTACTTAACCCACTGAGCCACCCAGGCGCCCTGACCCATTCATTCTTTAGTAGGATGCTCTTTAGCCTCCATGTATTTGATTTCTTTCCAACTTTCCTTTTGTGGTTGAGTTCTAGTTTCAGCACATTGTGGTCTGAAAATATGCAGGGAGTGATCCCATTCTTTTGGTACCAGTTGAGACCTGATTTGTGATCCAGGATGTGATCTATAGTGGAATGTTCCATGTACAGTAGAGAAGAATGTGTATTCTTTTGTTTTGGGATGGAATGTTCTGAATATATCTGTGATGTCCATCTGGTCCAGGGTGTCATTTAAAGCTTTTATTTCCTTGTTGATCCTTTGCTTAAATGATCTGTCCATTGCATGAGTGGGGTCTTAAAATCCCTATTATTTTATTGTTATTGATGTGTTTATTTAATTTTGTTATTAATTGGTTTATGTAATTGGCTGCACCCATGTTAGGGGCATAAATATTTACAATTTTTAGATCTTTTCATTGGATAGACCTCTTTATTATGATATAGTGTCCTTTCTCATCTCTTATTACAGTCTTTGATTTAAAATTCAATTTGTCTGATATAAAGATTGTCACCCCAGCTTTCTTTTGATTTCTATTAGCATGATAAATGGTTTTCCACCCTGTCACTTTCAATCTGGAGGTGTCTTTGGGTCTACAGTGAGTCTCTTCCAGAGAACATATCAATGGGTCTTGTTTTTTCATAGAGTCTGGTACCATGTGTCTTTTGATTGGGGCATTATCCCATTAACATTCAGAGTAATTATTGAAATATATGAATTTTGTGCTTTTGTATTACCTGTAAGGCTGTTTCTGTATGTTTTCTATATTCCTTTCTGGTCTGTATTACTTTTGGGCTGTCCCTTCCCTTAAAGGATCACCTTTCATATTTCTTGCAGGGCTGGTTTGGTGATTACAATTTCTTTTAGTTTCTGTTTTTCTTAGAAGCTTTTTATTTCTCCTTCCATTTTGAATGACAACATAGCTGGATAAAGTATTCTTGGCTGCATATTTTTCTCATTTAGAACCCTGATTATGACAGTCTTTTCTGGCCTGCACAGTCTGTAGATAAGTCTACTGCCAGTCTAATGATTCTAGGCTTGTAGTTTACAAACCTCTTGTTCCAAGCTGCTTTCAGGATTTTCTCTTTGTCTCTGAGATTTGCAGGTTTCACTATTATATGTTGGATTCTTGACCTATTTTTATTGATGTTGGAGGGGGTTTCTCTGTGCCTCCTGGACTTGAATGCCTGTTTTCTTCTCCAGATTAAGGATGTTCTCTGTTATAATCTGCTCCAATATACCTTCTGCCCTCTTCCTCTTTCTTCTTCTTTTAGGATCCCAATTATTGTAATACTGTTTTTCTCTATGCTATCAGTTTTCTCTTGAATTGTCCCCTCGTGATCCAAGAGTTGTTTATCTTTCTTTTTCTCAGCTTCCTTGTTTTCTATCATTTTGTCTTCTATACCACTAATTCTCTCTTCTGCCTCATTTATCCAGGCAGTTAGAGCCTCCATTTTTTATTGCATTTCATTAATAGCCTTTTTGACTTGATTAGATTTTAGTTCTTTTATTTTTCCAGAAAGGGATTTTGTAGTGTCTTCTATGCTTTTTTTTGAAACCAGCTAGTATCTTTATAATTGTTATTCTGAACTCTAATTCTGACATCTTACTTATGTCCATACTGATTAGGTCCCTGGCAGTCAGTACTTCCTCTTTCTCTGTTTTTTGAGGTGAGTTTTTTCAATCTTGCCATTCTTTCAGAAAGTGATTGCTTTTCTATTTGTAGAGTTGCAGGCATTCTTTTCTTCAACCTCCAGTTGAGTTCGCAGGTGTTCAGAATGGTTTGAGAGCCATCTAGCTGAATTCCTGAGACCAGATGAAATTAAGGTTTCCTACTCCTCTGCCATCTTGGACTCCTCCTTGAACTGTGAACTTTTTAAAATGAATGAGTTCACGTTGCTTTTATCATAAGATGTATTTTCAATGAAAAAATCTTAAAAATTTTAGGTATATTATTCTAATAGTTACGTGCTATGATATATAATTTCCATGACTAAGTTTAGGATGCAGGTTATTATATTGACAGTTTAGGAAAATCTTCCTATGTTAAACTTTTATCAGAGAGCTCCTGTTTTGAAGGCTAGTTCTTTTCTTTTTCTTTTTCTTTTTTAAAATATTTTATTTATTTGAGAGAAAGAGAGAGAGAGAGAGCGTGAGCATGAGTGGGGTGAAGGACAGAGGGGGAAGCAGACTTTCCGCTGAACAGAGAGCCCAATGCAGGACTCAGTTCCAGGTCCCCAGGATCATGACCTGAGGTGAAGGCAGACTCTTAACTGACTGAGCCACTTAGATGCCCAGGCTAGCTCTTTTCTAACACTGACTTGGAAAGTAACTCAATGAAGATTTACCTTATTTTTATAAACAATATTGTTTCCAATTGAAGTCTTAGTAATGAAACCTGTTACAGCAAATGAGATTCAGCAAATACAGAAGTTGACAGCAATTCTAGTAGATGTTGCTAGTCAGTTGAACCTAGTTCTCTTGCAGGAAGATGGTATCATGCTTCTTAAACTCCAGAGCATTAATTAAAAACAAATGCCAATTTTAAACTCCATTGTTTATTAACAGTGTTCTAGTGTCAACTGACACTATTTTAATATTATGCTTAGTCATAAAATGTAGTTGTAATTAAGGTGATAAATGCTTAAACAGGTATAGGTGAAACTTAAAGTATATTATTTTTGTTATGTTTTTCAGGTGAAGCTCTGAAAGTATCAGCTGAGAGATTTGCAGATGACCCATGTTATCTCCCCAAAAGGGAGGCTGTGGTTCAAGCTGCCCGTGCCTTGTTGGCTGCAGTTACCAGACTCCTTATCCTCGCAGACATGATAGATGTCATGAGTCTCTTGCAGCATGTGTCAGCTGTAAGTAAAAGATGGCTAGTTTACCTTGGCATTGTTCTCACTTCTAATTCCATTTTCTGAAACTGGTATTAATACTAGTGCATCCCAACCTCACTTTCATTTCTTAATGTCACCCAGCAGATGATTCAATTAGATTGGGCAACTCTTGTATACCTCAAAAGAACAAAGCCAGAAGTTATTTTGTTTATTAAAAATTTTAAATTTTTTTATTTAAATTCTAGTTAACATATAGTGTTATGTTATGTAACTAAATGTTAACATATAGTTTCAGGCATACAGTTTAGTGATTCAGCACTTGGGGCTCATCACAACAAGTGAACTCCTTTTTTGTTTTTTAAGGAAATGCACTCCTTAATCCCTGTTACCTATTTCACCCATCCCCCCACTACCAACCATCTTTTCTCTTCAGTTTTTGATCTCTTCAGTTAAGACTCTGTTTCTTGTAGTCCATAGTCTCTCATGGATCATCTCCCCCACTGGTTTCCCCCTACTTCATTTTTCCTTTCCTTCTCAGAAATGTCCTTCATGCTATTCTTTATGTTCCACATATAAGGGAAACCATATAATGATTGTCTTTCTCTGCTTGACTTATCTCACTTAGCATAATCCCCTCCAGTTCCATCCATGTCAATGCAAATGGTAGGTAGTCATCCTTTCTGATGGCTGAGTAATATTCTATTGTATATATGGACCACACCTTCTTTATTCATTCATCTGCTATGAACAGTGGGGTGCATGTGGCCCTGTCAGAGGAGAGGGTGGTAGGGGGATGGGTTATCCTGGTGATGGGTATTAAGGAGAGCATTATTACATGGAGCACTGGGTGTTATACACAAACAATAAATCATGGAACACTACATCAAAAACTAATGATGTACTGTATGATGACTAACATAACATAATAAAGAAAAAAAGATAGTTTCTTGGTTCGCATCTCTCTTTTTCCCCATTTGCTCATTTGTGTTGTTTCTTAAATTCCACAGTTGAGTGAAATCATATGGTTTGTCTTTCTCTGACTGACTTATTTCATTTAGCACAATACTCTGTAGTTTCACCTATGTTGTTGCAAATGCTGAATTCATTCTTTTCTTGGCATATATATGTGTATATATATATATATATTCATATCTATCTATCTATCTATCTATCTATCTATGAATATTACTCAGCCAAGGCCTGCTGACGGGCAGAGACAGTGAGGCGGAGGCAAGGTAGACCACAAGAGGGGATTCAAGAGGCGTTCAGAGCCACATCAGGCTGAGCTTTGAAGGCCACGGTAAAGGGCTTCAGATGCAGGCATTGCTAGTTCCATTCAATTTTTGTCTGTCTCTCTTTTTTATAAAGATATTTTATTTTCAACCAATCTCTACACCCAATGTGGGGCTCCAACTCACAACCCCAAGATCAGGAGTCGCCTCTTCTTCTGTTGAGACAGCCAGGTGCTCTTCCTCTCTTCCCCACCGTCTCCCTGCTTCCCTTTCCATCAAGGTCTCTGTCCCCCCTTCTGAATTTCTGTCCTCCTCTGTACTTCTGGATACAGCACTTGGGCAGGCAGATAGGGCGGGAGGCTCCCAGCAGTGCGTCACCCTCTGACTCCAGCCGCTACACCACCCAGCTGTGCCTGCAGGAGCGGTGTGGCTGTTTGCCTGGCAACCCGTGACATCACACAGAGGCTGGCGCTGGGTTGGCTTGGCACTCGCCGGAGGCCAGGCAGTTTCTAGCTCACAGAGGATTTTGGAAGAGCCAGGATGGGGGAGACAGGAAGAAAATCGGGAGGGACTTGTATAAAAAAAAATTATATATATGTGTGTGTGTGTGTGTGTGTATGTGTGTGTATATATATATACATACATATGTATATATAAACATTTTATATATTATATATTTATGCAAAATTAATATATAAAATTTATATTTATATATATTTATATAAAATTATGTTTATATATATAAAAATATATATAAAGAAGTTGTGAGATTATATATAT